CTTAAATATCTGAGTAGCTGAGCCAGACTAAGTCTTGACTTCAGGACCACTAATAGAGAGGGAAGAAAGGCAGAACTACCTGGCCTTCACACACTTAATTTCTTTTCTTAATCAAGAGGGAAGCAACAAACAAATGGTGACCCAGGAAGATGCACACACTGGAGAACTAGGGCAGGTGCCCAGCCCTTGGTTTAGCCAAACTGCAGTGAAAGTAAAGCCACATGCCATGTCCTCACTATCCCTGAGCCCATCTGTGTGTGTGTGCAGCAAATATCCCTGCTTCCCATGACAGATGGTCTCCAGGCTTCTCTTACCCCAATTGCAGAAAAGTTATCTGACTTTTTTTTTTCCAGAGGAAATTTTATAAAAGGGAACTCTGCTGACCTTATCTGCATCTTGCTTCATTATTTCCCAAGCACATCTTAGGCTTTAACTTAAACTCCAACCTGTGCTCATGGCACAATTAAGGACATTCTTTAGGATTTTGTAGGTGAATGATGAAAGGTTTAATGATCTGCCCGGGTGACCCAGGTAGCACAGCACTTTCGTAGAACTGAATTATTTTCTTGACTTTTGAGATTTTGATTCTATTCATTATATAGATAAGAAACTCTTTATTACCAAATTTAGCTAGCCAAAATTTAGGTGAACAAGACAATAAAACTGATGAAAAGAGACAATTTCCTCACTGACTATCAATGTTTAATTATCTTATTAAACAGCTTGAGAAATAAAAACTTCTTAGGCAAGAAGGAAACAGAATGAGAGACATGTTTGTGACTACTGCACAAAAGTAGGGAAACAAAAACCAGAAAGAATGTTATTGTTTGAAAATACAGATTTGTAACAAACTCTTCAAGCTTTCACTACTTAAAAGTCATTTTATAACAGAGATTCAGGTACATTTCAGCATCACCAGAAGTTCTGGATTTATTTATATCACAGCGATTTCTTTCCAAAGTGTCGTTTCTATCTGTTTGGGTACATCTCTAGTTCAGACACGGGTAATGCAGCCCTCAAATAAGGCTGTTGGAGAACCAGAAATACTTTAAACAAATTTATTTCTAATTGACTAGATTTCATGTTGATTGTACCTCTGTAAGACCTGATTAAGTGAATTCATTACCACTTATAATTTTATGACAGTACACAGCGGAGATTCCAGCCATGGAAATTATCCCAGTCTAATCAAGATATGCAAACTGAATATAAAAGCATTTAAAAAAAAAATCTTGATTGAATCAGGATTTAAAATATTCTTAATAGAAAAAACATCATCACTTGAACTCCAGGCTTACTACTATCAGTTTCTGTCATGGAGAAAGCATTTAGTAAAAGTTCTTAATGTTCTGTAGGTAACAAGCAGCTGCTGATACAGGATTTGACAGTCAGACTTTTGGGAAGGCCACCCATGTGGGAGCATGAAAAGCAGTGATGCCCAGTAATACTGTGCTTGAAAGGACTCCTAGTCTTCTATAGAACAGGGGGTTGGGGTGACCTTATAAGATGCACCTCTCAGTTTGCTTAACTTCTTCCTAGTTGCTGCCCAAATCTTTCTGTGTGTGTTGGTAAATCGGAACAATTCCCATGCAAAGCTCATTTCCCAACGCTGCTGTTGCTGCTGTCAGAGCTGTGTATCCCTGCACCTCATTAGAAGAGAGGAACAGCATCCAGGCAGCTCTGTTTACCCTGGGATGCAGCTGTGCAGGGAAGGAAATAATTAAGCCCATCATATGAACCAAATCCTTCAGGACATACCCATTAATGAGATTTACAAAACCCACACTCCGCTTTGCTGTTTGCAGCAAAGGAAGGAAGGCAGAGACAGAGAGAGAAAAGCCCTTCTTTTCAGCATTAGCATAAAACTAGAAACATATTTTGTTCAATTCAAGCATTAGAAAGGGATTTGCCATTAGGTTTTATGTCTGCCTAATGTTCTGCCACAGATTTTATTTAGTCTGCATCACAGATGTTTGGTTTGGTTTTTTAGTACATTTGCCATCACTAGCTGCCTCACCTCAAAAGTTTTCCCCAGTCCTTAATAAATCTAAACTGCTCTTCTCCACATGGTTCTTCAGTCACACATGGAGAGGGACTATTTCTGTATATCAGAGTTGAATTTTCTTACATGCTCCTTAAAAGGAGCTTATATAAAAGAGGGAGAGTGAATTCTTACATGGGCAGATAGTGACAGGACAAGGAATGGTTTTAAACTAAAAGAAGAGAAATTAAGGTTAGAAAGATATTGTTTAGTCAGGCGGTGAGGCCCTGGTACAGGTTGCCCAGAGAATCTGTGGCTGCCCCATCCCTGGCAGTGTTCAAGTCCAGGTTGGATGGGGTTTGGAGCAGCCTGGTCTAGGTGTCCCTGCCCATGGCAAGGAGTAGGAATTAGATGGTCTCCCAGGTCCCTTCCAACTCAAACCATTCCAGGATTCTATGCACAATATTTTGTATAGTGTAATAAAAGCTGTTAAATATATATTGGTGGGGGGGAAAAAACCCCACAACAAAACCACCTAACCTAAAGACTCAAAACCATGCAACGAAGACATACAATAATAATATTTTTAAGAAAACCACAGGCCTGGGATGAAAGTACCAGTTCAGTACCCACTCCCAGCATGTAAAGCACAAAGAAGTGTTCACAGCCTGTGACAAACCCCACTGTCACTGCTAGCTCTCACAACGTACTCAGCCAGTACTCAGTCTGCAGTGACTGGGACAGCAGTGAACGTCAATGGGGAAGAGTGACATTCAAAAAAATTAAAAAACAAAACTGAAAAGGTAAGCAAAGGCCTTCCACAATCACATCTATATTTTAAACATTGTTTCAGTGTTTATAACTCATCAAAGGTAGTTATGAGTAACTGCTGCTCCTTATGCTTCAGACTTAATTGAAAAGTAGTTCAGCCACACACTGATGAGGCCTTTCTGTTTCCCACACTGTAGTGGTTTGAACCAGATTGTCCCCCTGAAGCTAAAAAAGTGGTAACCCCCAAGGGGTGGTGACACTGGAGATCTGAACCAATCTGCGCTCCTGTGAAATATAAACATACCACAACCAGACCGGAAGAAGATGAGTTGTAGTTTGGGTTGTAGAAGAAGTAGCCATGTTGTAAGACCACGAGGAAGGAGCTCGGAGCCCCTTGGGGCCTCTGGGGCCCCCCAGTCCCAGTTGGGGGCTACGGAGACATGGAACAGTGTTAAGCTGGACTATGTGTCTGTAGCTATGAAGGCTGGGAGTTTTCTCTCCACTGTGGGCAGCGGCAGGAGTAGCAGCAGCCGGCACTGACCGGAGAAACAGTGGCACAGAGCCAGAAGAGATAAGACAAAGCAGCAGAGGCATTACGCTGTATATAATTTAAGAATACATTACTTGAGATTTTTTTTTCCTGTTCTAGAATTATTTTATATAATTCCTTTCACCACACTTTCTCACTTCTGTATGCAATTCAAATGTGTACATCCCTTATCAGGGAGTGACTGATGGATTATTTTGGTCACACCATAGACTGAAGACCATCCTGACTCTTGAAAAGCTCCTCACCACAACTGCAAACTCACTTAAACGTTTCAGCCAACAAAAAAAATTATTCCCATCAACTCAACACAATGTCAAATACAATACTTAAAATCCAAATTTGCACACCTGTTTCTGTACCTTTGTCTTTTGACTGGTGTATTTATCTTTGATAGTGATCCTGGCACTGAAGCAAACAGTCAGTTATTAAATGCCCTGATAAACCAGAAACTTTTGTTGTACTGGCCTTTAAGGTACAAATATTTTATTAATATTTTTCCCCTTTTCCCATTTTCTCAGACTATACTATTATTCCCAGATTATACTACTTCATGTCACTACACACTTTACAGCAATAAATCTCACACATTTTACATTGTTTCTCTATTTTCTCTTTGCTTCCAGTGCTCATCCAAAGGTACTGATACTGTTAAGACTCACTATCCAATCTTTGATCTGTGCCCATAATGTGCATTAACACAAAACACTGCAGCAGCCAGTGCAAGACAAGGCACCTTCAGCTTCTCTTATCACAGAGAAAATGAGTTTTTTAGTTTGCAGATCATAGAGAAGCATCAAGCTTTACCAAAGGAAACCTAATTTCAAATCAGTGTCCTTTTTGTTCTAGTTTTCTGATTTCTGAGTTTAATGTTTCTCTTTATTTTGTAACGATTGAACTGGAAGCCAAGAAAATAATGTCACTTTAAGAAACTGTTTTGCATAAATAGCACTAAATTGTCCCCAGAGTACTACCAAAACTTTTTAAATTGTGTTCTGAAAGAACCACAGCAAAGCTAAGATTAAAAAAAAATATAATAAATATAAAGACTAGAAGCCTTTTTTAATAGAAAACACTGAAATTGCAGCAGATAAGGTAAAAACAAAAGATAAAAAGTAATATGATTGTGGTGTAGCACAGTGTATCTACATTGACTCAGTGGTCCATCAGTTCTCACCTAATTGTACAAGGTATTACAGAACAAAAACCCAGCAATTCTTTATCCAGTTTTAATATCAGTTGCAAATTTTCAGTGACTCCATTAATAAATTGCCCCTAAATAAATTTAAAAAAAGAGTGTTTATCTTGTCTAATACAAGAAATATTATAAATTAGTCTACCTGCTAGTTCATATTTAAAGCACATTCTGGAGGAGGAGGAGGAGGAAGAGCAGGAGAGTTGTTATGAGTTTACAAGATGTGCCAGCCACCTTTACTCCAGGCCACAGTTAAGCTGCAAATTCCTCTGCTCTGAGATCATTCTCATGATCCAACCAACACCAGAAACCAGGAGGAGGAACATTTTCCTTGTTGGGGATCAAGCAGATTTTTCAGGCATTTTCGGTCCTCTCTTCATTGAAACACCCCTTAGAATGCAGCACCACACACGGGTGAAGTTCCTGGGCTGTAGGTTTTTCAGGTTTGCCCACTTGACCAGAATAACTTCAACAATTTCATTACAAAATTAGTTTGGCACACTTACCTGTCAATACAGGTGACAGCAAGATGATCATCAGAATCTAGTTCACCCTCATCTCAGATTCCTGTAGAAACACAGAAAGATGTAAAGATTTACACGTGTAGAAAGAAATGAAGCAACCTAATGGCCACCCTATTTAAAAACAATAACGCAGGCATGAAGATTTTGATGGGAGAGAGAAAAGAAGTTTATAATATTGGAAATTTTCAACATATTCATCATGCTGTAACAAAAATACTATGGAGAGCCTTGCAAGGGCAGAGCCTGATGTGACTTCACTCACTCCAGAGTGCTTCTGGCAGCATGAAGTCAGTACTAAGACAAAAATAAGCTCTTTGGGTTATCAAGAAAGACATAATTTCAGGCCAGATCTGACAGAAGGTGAAAGACGATGCTCTGCTGTTTCCCACTGACATCTTCCCTTGATTTAAGTCTTGGCAGAACACTGAGCATCCCAGAAATGTGTAGCTGGTGAACAACCCAAATTTGAGCAGCAAGATGCTTGGTTTTTCCCCAAGTCCAGCTGACATCCAGAGATTAGGGTTTGCTTTTTCCAGGCCTCCAAAGGGATTCCCCAAATCATCAGACATGCCAGTCCAGCTCCTGGATCAGCAGGCATAGTCTACATCCAAATAACTTCTATCCCTGAAGTGCATGACTTGATTCAAATTTTAATGTCTTCACTGATGGGTAGAAGCTCATGCTGAAAAAATTCCTCCCTGTTATATATTTCCTCCTTTTACAGATATAAATGGAAGGGAAAATCCAGAGATTTCCATTGCAAAAGCAAGTTTGACAAACCTTTTTTTACTTTTTGGGGTAGTCTGGTGTAAAATACTCCACAAAAAAATACAACTAGATCATGTTACATCTTTTACTTCTAAGCACAATAAGAGGTCTAAACAGGCACTCTCTTTTAGACACTTTATTTTAAGTAAAGCTAGACTTTGACGTATTTTACTAAAAATAAACATAGCTATTCAAAATGTTTGGAATAGGAAGAAAATACTTGCAAATCTGTCTTCAGCACCTGCATAATTCTGTACAACTGTCTTACAGAAGCAACAAAAAAAAAAAGCTATTGAAGGACATTTCCCACACTGAACTACTGTATTTTTTACCAATGTCAGCTGCATTTGACATTAAACTTGGTAGGTTTTGCATTTTTGGAGTGGGAGATGTAAATGTGAACTCCACTATCATTAAGGTTACAAGAAAGGGCGGTAAGAAAGTTCATCAGCTGTTTCTCACCAGGCAAAACTCAGAATCCATACAAGGAAAGAAGGCAGCAGACTAAAAGTAAAGCAAAATAAATCAAACTAACAGATTTCATAATCTTTGGGATGGGAAAAACTGCTTCCACTTCTGAACCATCTCTTTTACAGGCACTAGCTTTCAGTTTCTAAATGGATCCAGACAGAGGAGGAATTACTTGGGACTGGATATATCAATCAGAGATGAAACTTGCCAAAATTGCTCTCAAATGCTGACACATCAGCTCAACATACTCCAAAACCAGGTTTTGTTGGCTTTAGGAAAGATTTATACCTTGGTCAGCTTAGGATAAATATTGCTAAGATTTACTAAAGGTATGACCAGAGCAACAGCAAATATTTTTGGATTTTGTTTGTAAACAACCAAATTAACAACAGCAACATAAATGTTAAACATTCAGCTACTAAAAATTCCCCATAAATAAAAGCTACAGATAGGAATTCATTGCAGGGAATTTTTGCATGTCACTGTGGAAGAGAGGAGAATGCCATCAGTTTGTTCTCTGTGGAGGCCAAATTCTCCTCTTTACAGAAATTACCCATTTTGCATTTTGGATGTTAACTTCTTTTTCACTGTGCTCTCTAGAGCCAATCCTAAGGATAAGAAAATCAACTTGAAAAACCTCTTCTTTGCCAAGACCAGGGAAAATTTCTCTTAATAAGGGTGTTTGTGTATTGGAAATTCGTAGAAAATAAAAAAATGGTGCCAATCCTGGCTTCTTAATGAGGCTGGGTGAGGTTACACAGTGAAGACACCGTCGTTGGAAGAGTGAGCAACTGTCCTCCCTTCTGGCAGACAAAAACTCAATCCCCTCCCAGATTCTGTTTTTCCAGCTCCTCAAGCTCAGGATCAGTGGAGCAGAAGCTTCTCTTTATCTCAGAGCTTCTGATGCATCCCTAAATAAATGTCTGTGTTATGAAATCCCTGGTTACTTGCACATCCTACTGCAACAGGTTTCCCTTCCAGACGTGGCTTTCATGAATGGCTGGACAAGAGAACACAGCCCTGCACGGGCTCATCCCTGAGGAGACACCAAACACAACAGGCAACATGTTTTTCCTTTTTGGGAGCTCCAGTGTGGGCCTCTCCTACACCAAATCTCCCATTTTTAACACCTTTGTGGGAATGTAACACCTTCGAAAGTTTCTGTTCCTATAGAAAATTTAGTGGAAGTTGAACAGTAAATTCAAGAGCCATTTTAAAGTAGGAGGAGATGGATAAGGAGGAGAGTCACATAAGTCACATTTTCTTTATCAAATTAATCTATAAAACCCCAATCTGTAAAACTATAAAACCCCAAACTGTAAAACTACAAAACCCAAACTGTAAGTCCAAGTGAAAGCAGAGGCAAGGGGTGCAGTTGGCTATTTCCACACCATTCAGTGCTGCACAGTGAGGAGATGTGACATTTTTGCAGTGTACACTGTAGCAATAGCAACTTGGTTCAGGGAGTAGCAGAGCTGCAGCCAGGCAGTATTTATAGTCCTCTCTCTCTCCTCAGCTCCTTATTCCTGCTCTTTTTCCCCCTCGGTGAATTAAACAGGACACTGCCTCCCAAACCCAGCTGCTGCCACTGCTGGAGGAAAGCCCTTGCTGTGCCACTGTGCTGCAGAATGAACATTCCCAAAAGGACACAGGTCAAATCTTTTCCCAAAGTAAGAAATGTTCCAGTATTAGTACAAATTTGAACAAACGGAATTAAAATGTTGAGATTTTTGCATCCTTTTTTTTTTTCATGGCAACATGTTTAAGGAGTTTTCTAAACAGGGATTTAACCTTGTTTGTGGGTGTTTCTCTATGCCACGTGCACATCTAGAAAAGTAAAAGTGACTAAATAAAACCAGCAAAGCTCAAGTAAATTCTACTACTGAGTAGACAAGTCATGCCTATACAAACATGCATTTATTCTGACTCACACAAACATGAGTCAACAAAAACCATACAACCCTACTGGCAAACTCGAGTGAATATTTCTGCATAACTTCTTCACACTACTTCAATGCCGGAGCATTCCCAGTTTGTGTCTCCCAGCTGACCAAGCAGCACAGATGCCTGCACAGCCACGGAGAAATCCCCATCTCTGTACATTCATGAGGATGGCACAGAAAATGGATACGCTGAAACACCCAAAAATGAAGCATTTGGGAGCATCCAATGACAGGATTAGCACATTTTAATTAATACAACTCCAAACAACAAATGTCATTAATTTAACCTTAACTTTTCTGAACACAAACAACCCTTAATGCTACCACAGCACCCTGTTTTCTCTATTTTCATGTACACAAAGATGTCATCAACCATGAAGACCCTCTTATTAGCACATATGCCTCTGAAATCAAAGGTAATTTATATGTGATGTCTACAAAACATGAATACCAACAGAGTTCACATGATTAGAGAATAATTTACACAACCTAGTTCAGTAAAAAAACTGCTAAAGCAGGGCAGTTATGATGCATTAAAGTACCAACTGCTGCTTTAACAGTATACTCATATAATTTATAGGTAGCTGAAGGCACTTTGCACTGTAAAGCTCCAGGCAGTCCATTAGTTTAGTAATACTCAGAGACTTCCAGATGTCTTTAATACTAACAGTCCCCAAACACACACATTGAATTCTGCACTTGTCCCCAAGTTAAACTAGAGCTGAAATGAGGTAAGTACTAGGACCAAGCACATATGGACATGATGGATTCAAATCCTGCCTGGGAGAGACATAACAAGCAAACTTGATTTAATTCCAGACTAGCAAAGAACAAAGCAAGGAGCTGAAAAATGAATGTAGCAAGAGAAGAGCTATCTGAGATTTTGAGAGACTCCTATCAGCTAATCCTGCCATTATATAAAGCCAGAGCAAACAAAGTCTGGTCATGAGGTGGAAATGTGAAAGAATCAGGAAAACAGTTCAAGGAAGTGGAAAAATAGTTATTTTATACATCAGGAGACACTATATTTGGGCATATATTTAAAATTCAGAATAGAAAGAACTCCACATGGACCCTTTCAGAATAAATACCAAATCTACAGCTGCTCAAACACTTACTGGAATGAATTCACATATTTGTGACTCTCTTAATTTTTTGCTATGCTCAACTACTGTCATCTTTTTTTCTTCAGCAGCCTAAACATAATGGCTTAAATGCCTGTATATTGTGTGGTAGCAAAGAATGGTCTTCAAAAATGCCAGATGCTTTGTAGCTTCAGATTATTCACTGCTTATGGCAGCAAATTCATGCCAGCAGCAAAAAACAAAAAACCAAAAAAAAACAAAAAACCCCAAAACAACAACCAAAAAACCAAACAAAATTTAATTCCTGTTCAAATCCAGACAATATAAATGTGTACTCTTAATTTCATATACATTAAAGACAGAGAATCTCCATAGTCCCACACTTCAGCTCTTTGAAGACACTTGACACAGAAAAAAAGCAGCATCAAGAGTCTGTCCACCAGAATATGCTAAAATGAGACAAATTAGCACTAAAACAGGGATGTTCCACAAAAATGCAAAGCAGAGGTACAGGAGGGATCTCTCAGCCACTGTTTCCCACTCAGGCACAAAATGGCTTCTTCCAATTCCCTAGATTTGGAGGAGGAGGGAAGACAAGGTGCAAAGTTTATGAAGATTATGACCTTTTCCTTCTTGTGACAGCAGGAGTTAGGATTCTACATATTTGCTATAGCAGTTTGATCAGCCTGAATAAATGTGGAGTACAGCAACTCACAAGTAAACTCATAAGCTTTACTATCTCAAAATAAGCTGAATGTAACTATCTGATCCAAATT